CTATGTTTATATGTATTGAATGTATATTTACATGTTTGTTTGTTTACATATTTATAAGTATAAGTTGACATGTTCGATACCATGTAGTTGGTCCATGAATGAATAAATTTCTTTCTTTCTTTTCCTAATCTTACGTTTCAGTATCAGAATATTCCCAAGATGTCTGAGAGCTCGGATTCGGAAATAGAAATGGAAACTAATTACTCTTACAAGCAACAAGACATTAATATCCTGCTGCTAGGAGAGACTGGAGTTGGCAAATCCACCTTCATAAATTCTGTTGCAAACTATTTGACCTACCGAAATATGAAAACTGCTGCCTCGGAAAAACTGCTCGTACTCATTCCGACATCTTTTGGTATAACAGACAAACACAAAAAGAAGCATCTGGTGAAAATTGGTAATGAAGACCATAATGAATTTCTAGAAACGGGAATTTCCGGAACGCAAGACGTCAAAACGTATGTTTTTCCAATTTGCGATGGGCAGGTGAAAGTTCGATTGATTGATACACCAGGAATGGGTGATACCAGAGGTATCAAACAAGACGATATCAATTCAGAAAACATCCTAAGCTACATCGGACAGCTCAAAGAACTCCACGCCATTTGTTTCCTGTTCAAGCCCAACCAATCGAGACAAACTGTATTTTTTCACTACTGCATGGCTCAGATCTTTTCCCGCCTTGATAAATCGGCCAGCAGAAATGTTGTTTTTGTTTTCACCAATTCTAGAGGATCTGATTATAGCGGTGGAGATACCCTCAGCATTTTGGAAAAAGTTGTGAGTGATATCAAGAAAAGACCACCGTATGTTGAAATTCCCATCGATAAAAATGTTTTTTGTTTCGACAATGAGGCCTTCAGATTCTTGGCAGCTGCTCAAAATGGTGTGGAGTTTACCTCAAAAGTTCGGGATTACAACAACGAAAGTTGGAGTCATTCATCTGGAGAATGTTGGAAGTAAGTTATTTTTATTGATAACTATATTTATTCCGATTCAATTGGTTCAAGTTATGAAAAAACACGTTTTCAGCAAATCAGCTCTCTTGAAAAATGTGATGATATGTGTTGAACTCATTTTTTTTCATAACTTCTATAAATTTCTTTCATCCATTCCGGAAATAAAGGTTATTTTATTAGTTTGTTCTACTGCATGGGCTGGAAAGTCTCGGGCCTAACACATAGTTTATGCCAGAGGTTCTCAAACTTATTTTGTCTACCGCCACTTCGAAAATTGATAATTTTCTAGCGCCCCACAATTTTTTTTACTTTACTACATCTTAAGAATCACAATCGCATATTTTAATAATTAAATTATGTGTGTCATGTGAAAATAAGACTTTCTGATGAAGGTAATGTAAAATTCCATTTTGTAATATTAGGAAAACTTTTATTCCTGTTATTAAAATAAGATTTCAGTTTGAATTTTGAAACTGATCTAATGTGGAGGATGAATTCGATGATTTTTAACAAGTTTGTTAATATCAGGCTGGAATTTACTCGAAAACAGCCGTAAGTCACCGCGTTCGGTAATCTGCAACCGATTTCTCTTTTTAGTTTGCAACGTTGCCACAGCACTAAATCCAAGTTCACACAAATACGATGATGGGAATGCTATCAAAAATCGGAGAACGATGGACCACAATCCAGGGTACAATTGCGGGATTAGCTTTCGTAGCCAAAATTCTTGGTATCCATTTTTGAATTTTATTTTTATTTCCTCGTTCATTATCAGTTCTATAAGTTCTTCTTCCAGCTGGGGTAATCCTGCTGTGTTGACATATGAAAAAGGATCCAACACCCAGTCCGGTGTTTCCAATTTTAAAATGTCCTGGAATCGTTCTGCAAAATCACTGTGGAGATTCTCAAAATGTTGGCAGTAAACGTCGTTGAACGTTACTGCTGACAAATTAGGGAAATTGCGAAACTCACGTCTGCCGATATTATTCTTGTATAAGAGCAATTAGGCTACAAAAGCAGCAATGATATTTTTTGTTTTAATCCAATTCAAGTCGTCACCGTGAAATTGGAGATTGACACCATTAAATAATTTATAGAGGTCTGTCAAGTACACAATATCATTCTTTGAAGTGATGAGGTTGTCGTGCAATTCTTTGTCTTTGTTTTCCGAGAACTCTATTATCAAATAGATTGTAAAATCGAGTCAGACAGTTACCTTTTGATAACCAACGAACTTCTGTGTGAAATAGCCATCGGTTGAAATTTTCATCGTGGATGAAGTGTGAATCCACAAAGTGGATTAAATAATCTGTCATTTAAAGAGCTGTTTCGGATTTTAGGCATTCATAGGCTTTCGCCTATGAATGACGCAACGTACAGCGAGCACATCTGGAATTTTATTTTTTGAGTACGCTATGAAGCCTTTGTGATGTCCTGTCATAGCCGGAGCGCCTTCCGTAGCAGCTAATATAATATTCTTCAGTGGAATTTCTTTCCCATATATGGTTTCTCCTGTTGCATCCGTCTCTAAATTTCTGGCAAATAGTAGTTCTTGATATATTTTCTCATTTATAATAAACCTCACGTATGACAACAATGCTTCATTGGTTGGTAAAGTGGACTCATTGAACTGAATTGAGAATTTAGAAGTCTTCAGATGATTGCACAATGACTCTTCAATGTTTTCAGCCATCTCATCGATTCGTCTTTGCACGGAACTATTGCTCAAAGGAATTTTTCGGATAATATCCTCCCCAATAGTGTGAGGTTTACCTGTTTGAGCAATTAGCATTTGTCTTTTTTATGTGAATGCATTTAATTCAAATGATCTTGTAGCCTTGAGGGTTTCATCGCTCCATTCGAAAATGTTTTTTGACAAAGAAGGCACATAGGCGAAGATAGATTTGTGGGATTTTCAATAAATCCATATTTTATATATTCCGCGCTATACTGCCGTTTCTTCTTTTATGCTTCCTACATAATTTTGTCTTCAAAAACGCCGAAGTAAAGAATCGAGTATTAAAAACTTGCTAATATCACCACTCACAGTATTCACCACCGTACGTACAGCACTTTACCTAGCTAGTCGCTAATTAAATTCACTTGTTTTAGTAATATCGTCGAATGACATTACTGGCTGGATGGCGCGCGTGCTTTTATATGAGGCAGCGGGTGGGCCTAGTACTTTCGAGAATGGAGACTAGAAACTTCTCACTTCGCATTGAAGCTTATCTATTGTATAGTTTGACAACTGTCGGATAGGAAATAGTTACTGTCTAGTCCCCTAGATGGCGTTACACGAGGAAATGCGCGTTAAGCGTAAAGGAGCGGTAAAGTTTGTGTTAAAAGCAAAAAAATATTTTAAATAAGTCATCGCCCCCCTAAACCGCTTCAACGCCCCCCAATCTTCTCTGTACCCTTTACTGTACCCCTAGGTAAAGGTCTCCAGCGCCGCAAGGGGGCGATATCGCCCAATTTGAAAACGACTAGATTATGCTAATCTTATTGTTTTCAACCCTTTTTCAGTTAATAGTAACCTTCAAAAGAAAGCTGTCAAAATTTCATGATTTTCTACTCATAAGTTTGTGAATTATTTTGCTAAGAGTGACACTACGTTTGTTATTTTTAAAACAATGCTTCTTGATGGGAAAAAATACCGTTCAAGCGAAACAATGGCTTGAAAAGTGTTATAAGGGCTCCGCTCCAACAATTAAAAGTTTAGACATAAAATGTTTTGAATGATCGAAAAGTGAAGTTGCGTGAGTTAGTTGACATAGTAAAGATATCAAAGAAACGTGTTGGCTATATAAGCAAAAACAAGAACGTCTTGATGATTCTGAACAGTGTTTGGCCATGTTTAATTACAACAAACCGGAATTTTTGCGTCGAAATGCGACAATGGATGAAACATGGATCCATCACCACTCTGGAATCAAAACGATCGTCATCTGAGTGTAGAACAACTGATGAAACTCGTTCAAAGCGCCCGAAAGCACAACAATCGGCTGGAAAGGTTATGGCCTGCGTATTTTATGTGCGTGTTGTAATATTTATCGACTAATTCGAAAAGGGAAATACCATTAACAGTGAATAGCTATTATATAGCGTTGTTGTAGCGTTTGAAGGCCGAAATTGCGAAAAAACGACCGCATATGGCAAAGAAAAAAATTTGTTTCATCAAGACAACGCACCATGTCAAAAGTCAATCAAAACAATGGCAAAAGTTCATGAACTGAACTTCTTATTGCTCCCACATATACCGTATTCGCCAGATTTGGCTCCCAGTGACTGCTGGCTGTTCGCATACCTCAAAAAATACTCACCGGTAAGCAATTTCATTCAAATGAAGAGGTTATTGCTGAAACTAATGCCTATTTTGAGGCAAATGATGAATCGTTCTACAAAAGTGATATTGAAATGTTAGGGCGGCGCTGGAATGAATGTGTGGCTCTTGATGTAGATTACGTTGATGAACAAAGCCAATTCTGAACAAAAAAACGCGTTTTCTTTCATAGGCCCGGGATCATTCAGCCCATGTGTTAACAAAAGAATATGTTAATCATACTATAAACACATTTTAGTTGATATAATAATATAGAAACTTGGAAATGAATTGAGTTAAAGAGATGCTGACAGCATAATGGATCGGGTGTCCGATATATACATGCCTTCTTGATCCATTTACAACTTATTCACCCTTGCAAGGGCGGCATCTGGGAGTTGCACCCCAAAATCTCAAATGGAGAAATAAACATTTCTGCAAAAATTAGATGTCTCTACGGTCACCCGTTTCCGATCGATAAAGAACGATAATACACATGGCAGTCGTGAAAAAGAATTTTATTTCATTTCATAAGATGTTCAAAACGACTACCAACAACCTCTTGACCATGACAGAGTCTACTTTCAAATTCTGCCCTTTGTTAGAATTTCTGGTGTTGTAGTAGTGCACGCAAGATGTCAAGAGGAGCGAAGTCGGGAGACCTTACACCCAATTCAGCAACCAGGAAATTTCTCATCTCTTACAAAAAGTGTGGAAGTATCTCATCTTGTTGAAAAAATTGGATCGTGATCGAAAGCATCATTTTCAATAGCAGCTACAATCCCATGTGTGATAACTTCTGAAAGTTGCAAACTTAAAAAGCTCCAAATCCTGTAAACAAACACGAGAACCTCAAACCCCATGACCTCAAACTTTTTATAGGGTTACAATCAATGATACACCATTCGATGATTTTATTAATAAAAAACCTCGTAGAATTTTCAAATTTCGAGGTTACAGCTCCCTCTTTGTGCGCTCTTGAATATCCAGCTTCGACCCAAATTCCCCAACTTCGTATTGAGGAAGTTATAAAATGTTCCAATATTCCTATCATACTAACTAATTATATTTTCCAGCCTTATCAAGTATATTCTTGGAGACGATGAAAACCCTCCTCTAACACCTCATTATATACAGAGTACCACAGCTATCAATGAAGCTCGCAGAATGATTGGTCAGTTATGCCAACCACTAGCTGAAATATCTCAACTCATAGGCCATAATATGAGCATATTACAAAGACACAAGGAAAATCTTCAGGTAGAGAATCAAAGCATGAACGAACTCAAAGATCAACTGTTTATGCCAGTTATTAGCTTGGAAGTCGTTGAGCTAACTCAACCTGTTACTGTTTGTACAAATCGGGAATGTTCCGAAGTATATCAGGTGAGCGATAATAATAATAAACATTTGTTGCAAAGTGAGTCAATAATGCGATTTGGTGGTTAGACCCTACTAGTGAAATCCAATTAAATTTATTCATTACACTTTCAGACATAACAAAAATGTAAGCTTTGTCGATGCAAATAAATTAAATAGTGCATCCATACAAATTATACAAAGAAGATAAAAATACGTAACAATATAAAATATAATATAAAAAACAGGGCTAACTTTTTTGGTTCTAGAGATGTATGGAAAAACCCAAAATTTCGCTTCATATCAGCTTCACCTGTATGTATGTATGTTNCAGCTGTTTCAGCCTATTGGGCATCGTCAGTACCGGGCAGGCGGTCCTCGTTTGAAGACAAAATGAGAAAAAACCAAGAAAGTACCTTACAAAAATAGCTGCGTAAACGCAAGCGAAACATAAGTGGAACCACCTATTGGTGTGACACCCAAGTCATTTGCCAAGTTTTTATATCAGTGTTGGTGGTTTGACCAATCAACCGACAACTGCGGTAGCAGAAATTTGGAAAGCTAACCTGAAATACCATGTGGATTCGTTTTCCGATAGCGCGTGTTCAGCAAACACACATCGTTGTCTATGGTCGTTTACCTTCAGTTCCCGGGTCAGCTGAATTTTGTACGGGTGCAGGTCCAAGTCACGACGCAAAATTCTCCAAGTTGTGGTCTGCTATGTGAGCGATGCGAAATCGACTGTCTCGGATTCTCCTGCACACTCTCACAGACAGCGGCGATGTTTTCGGAAGATCTTGCGTCGACGTACGGGTGTTGGTCGATCGGTCACTGCACCAGTGGACTCAAATTTATACACCACATTGCGAATAGTCCTCTCAGTAGGACGATTAGGGCGACCGTAAAATGGACAAAGCGCGCGGTACGTTGCCGAACAAAACAATTTTATTATTTGCACGTGTTGTTGAATGCTATATCCGTCCATGGTGATTTGGCAAAACATACTAAATAAATGGTAACTAAATTGACAGATGTAGCTTCAATAAGATGGCCGTTATCAATTGTGAAAGTTGGGAAGACCTTGTTGGACGACCCAATTCAAGCCAAAATTCAAGCGGTTTGAAATTGATCAGCTCTTTAAAGCAGCATATATCGCAACGTTGTACGTTGCGATATAGTAAGTAAGTAAGTAAAGTTATTGAATTCAGTAATAAGACAAAATACATAGTCGTCTATGACAAAAGGATAAAAACAAAAAATTAAATAAAATAAAATAAATGAGTAAAGATACATGAAATGTAGAGATTATACAATAATTGTAATGAAAGTTACGCCTACGTAAGCAAGCTTGTATTTTAGCCAGCAAACTAAATAGTATATATTTTCCTGTATAACCAAACATAGTGAACAGAGTATAGAAAGGAAGAGATAGTAAGAAGAAGATAGAGGACGAGAAAGAGAGGGAGAGAGAGAGAGAGAAAGATCTGTCTGTGATGCGCTCTGAAAGACACGTCCAATAATAGATATTTCTTATTCAAGTATTAGAAGAAGCTTATCATAATTATTGTCAACAAATTTGTTCAACTCTATTTTGAATTTGAGTTTGTTTCTCATGCCTTTCAATGATTCAGGTAGAGTGTTGTAGAGTTTGAGTCCCAGATAGGTTATAAATTTTTGATTATGCGTGAGTGGAACATTCATGGTCTTAACTGAACTGTTACGAGTATTGAAAGCATCCTGTACAAATTTGATTGAAGAATTAGCAGTCCATAATGAACTCTGAAAAATGTAAGTTCTTCTAACACCGAATATCCCAGTTTCATCATACATCATACTGGGTACAATACCTCCGATCTTTTTTCATCATGATTCTTATTAATGAATTTTGAATCACTTTTAAGTTAATTAGCGATGTCTTAAAAGTATCATCCCATACTATTACACAGTAACGTATTGTGGAGTATATATGCTGCTGGTTTGGGCTGGACTGAAAGATTACGTGCCAAATAAAAATGTTACTTTCAGTTTCAACGATGTCATGCAATATTGCGACGATCTGTAGATTGATTTGTAGATAATCTTATACCTACTACGTTTCTTGATCATTTCTAGTAACTATGCATTTGAAAATCTATCAATTATCAGTTCTAAATTTATCCATTTTATCTTAATTCACTTATCTCTAATGAGAATGTACATATCTATCATTTGTAATTATGAACCCTTCATTATCTTTCAATTATTTTCCACCTACACAAAATGAAGAATTGGGGTTTCAATTCTCTACTGGTATATGTGTAGTTGACAAGTTTATTTAAGCCAATTTAATTTATTCATTTCATTTAAGACAACTATATTAAGCAAAAAACCCTGAAATGAAATTACAATAAAATAAAATATAAGCAACAATTGAAAATTGAACAATTAACAAGAAATGAAAANATGTAGACGACGCCGAGCTCCCGCCCCATGGAAGACGAGAGTAGAGCCGTGTCATCGGCGTACAGGGATATCTTCACTCTTTCGGACCTAGGCAGGTCGCTTGTATAGAGCGAATACAGCGTCGGAGAGAGCACGGCCCCCTGTGGCACTCCAGCGAGGATCTCTCTGTTGTCAGAGAGAGAGCCCTCTACTCTGACCTGAAAGGTTCTGTGATTCCAGTGTAATAGTTTTATGGCACTCACTACTTATTTCACATATTAAATGCTTGTGGTTCAAGTGGACAAAGGCGTGATTTTGTACGGAATTCCTTTGAAAGTATTAAAATTAGCTGCAGATAAGGTGAAAGGGAAAAGTGTAAAAAATGTAGGATAACTTCAATGGGTCAGATATCAAGAATGACGGATCATTTAACCAAATGTTCTTCTGGAAAGAATGATAATGATGATAATAGACGAAGATATACAGGCTAAAGTGGAGAATGTAGGAATTGAAGGAAGTGTAGAAGATTTACTTTTACTACTGAAACCCATTTCCTTAGCACTTGATTTAGTACAAAGTAATACATGTACAATTAGTGATTCTGTACTTGTATGGAAGGAACTTGAAAATAATTTCGGAAATAATGGAAATGAGGAATGTATGAAAAAAATCAAAAGTCGGTATGAAATGGCAATGACAGAAGCACCTTTTTTATCGTATATGCTTGACCCAAGGGAAAAATCTCCTCACTTAGATTCAACACAGGAAGAGACATCAAAATCACTGGATTTTGCAAAAGAAAAGTATTCTGAAATTGACATTTTGCCAATACTCATAAAGTTTCGTGCAAAAAGTGAACTTTTTCAAAAACACTTTTTTGAAAACAAGTGTCACTTCAAAAGTGGTGGAAAAGCCACAAAAATTTTGATACTAACATCATTAATATTATTGGAAAACTTCACACAGCCCAAGCGTCCTCGGCTGGCTTTGAAAGAATTTTTTCTTCCTTTGGTCTAGTGCAGGGGTCTCCAAACTACGGCCCGCGGGCCAAATCCGGCCCGCCAGTGTCATCAATCCGGCCCGCGACAGCCAATGATTTACTGTCATCAATCTGGCCCGCGACAGCCAACGATTATCTAATTGTTGTTACTATTGCTCTGGTAAATTGAAGAAGGAAACACAGAATGATAATTACTCGGTTTTATTTACTTGCAAGGTAAAACTTAACGACAGAAATGATGACAAAGAAAACTTAACTTAAGTATCTAAGTTTAA